CGTGAAGCATCATCAATAAAAGTAACAAAATATCTGCTACCACCTAATGACTCAACCTCAATGGGACCACATACGTCAGAATAAATTAATTCCAATCTATTTTCTTTTCTCTGAGAACTTTTACGAAAGGAAACTCTATGATGCTTACCAAACAAACAATAATCACATGAATCGAGAGACATACCTTTGGTCAAGGGAATGAGATAGTGCCTTGCCAAAACCTGTAACCTTTTTTCACTCATGTGTGCCAGCCTCCTGTGCCACAAGTTTGCTGAAGCATCATTTTCAACGGTATTTACCTGGTTACTGTTCAATTGCATCCATGTCTTATACATTGTGCAGAATAGTTTTCCCCTTGCAACTATCATAGATCCTTTGAGAAGCTTCCACTGTCCATTCTTTTGTCGGCTTTCATATCCCTCCTTATCAAGGATATTAATAGCAAGCAAGTTCATTCTCATATCTGGAATGTGTCTGACATCCCTCAAAGTCAACATGCAGCCTGTACTAGTTTGTACAACAATATCACCAATCCCAACAATCTGTGACACACTCTTGTTTCCCATCTTGGTACAACCAAAGTCTCCTGCTTTGTAAGTTGTAAACAACTCTCTCTTAGGAACACAATGATATGCCGCTGCTGTGTCAACTATCCACTCAATGTCGGGATCACTAACATGATTACAATCACCATGTGTACAAATCAAAGTAACTGAATCACTATCTGAATTCACTGCTGCAACATTGCCATCATCTGAACTCTTGTCTTTCTCATCTTTTAGCTCTTGCTTCAAGATTCTACAGTTTCGTTTTATATGACCCGCCTTACCACAATGGAAACATTTCACTTTACCTCTAGACTTGGATCTATGTTTAGACTTACCACGGCCTTTTGAGTCCTGACCTCTGTCGATGTTTCTACCTCTGTTTTATGTGACCAGAGCTTGATTCTCAGGGTCTACATTTTTTCGCCTCGCTTCTTCATTAAGCCTATTGTCCTTTACCATCTCCAATGTCACCTTATAATCAGGAGCTGAATTAAGAACAGTCACAACTAGAGTATTCCAGCTGTCTGGCAATAAACCCAAAAGAAATAATGCCTTCATTTCATCATCCATCTTAAGTTCCATAGTAGTCATCCGATTAAATATATCTTAAAAATCACTCAAGTGCTCTGTAACAGATCGTCCATCCCTGTACTGTAAAGTTGCAATCTTTTAACAAGCATAACTTTATTCATACATGTTTTTCTCTCATACAATGCTGCCAATTTTTTCCAAACAATGTGAGCATCTGATTCCTGCACTACATGATGGAACACGCTGATATCAACCCATTTTCTGATTGTAGCCAGCGTCTTTCTACCTAGCTTCTTCCAGCTTTCATCTTTCATATCTGTTGGTTTAGCTGAATCACCCAATACTGGCTCATACAAATCTTTGCAGTATAGATGATCCTCCATCATAGGCTTCCAAATTGAATAATTTGATGCTGTCAATTTTATCATGGAACCTGTATCACCCTCCATGATCTCAAACAGAATTTACTTCTATCCTGGGTTACTTCTGTATCGATGTCTCAAAATAACTCTCGCTCTGATACCACTTGTTGCGCCTGAAGCAATAATCACAACAATACAGAAGCAATAGACAACAATCAATAATCAAATGCGCAAGAAAAAATAAAGCACACCAAGATTTACGTGGAAAACCCTTCAGTGTAGAGGAAAAAACCATGGGCCACCAGAAAAATCTTCACTATCAAATAATAGTTATACAAAGTTCTTCTCTAGCTAAAACTAGAGCTAATCAACAACTAAAGAAACAATTGGAGAAATCTCACCAAATAAGTGACCAACAAATACACCCTGAATTTGTTCCTAGAGAGCTTCAAACCCGATCTTCACCGTTCAGAATGTATAACTCTGAATCATAAACCTCCTGACAAGGTTCCAACTCAATCGGACCACGGATCGACTTCTGTTTAACCAACTCTCCCTTCTCTTTTTTCTCTCTCTACTTTTCCTGGCTTTTCTTCTTCTCTGCTTGGTTGTCGACACACACCTTAAACAACCCCACCTCTTTTTTATTAAGTAACTAGGGCTCTGTGTAAAATAAAAGATCAAGGCCCATGACCTTTGCTTGGTCCAAAACCATTTATATGGAACTGGACCCCATTTTCCTAACACATATCAAATAAATATAATACATATGTATAAATTTTTAGATCTAATTTGAATAGAGTGAGCCAATAAAATGGGTAATTGCCAACTGATTGCAACATAAGTCGATACATGATATATTTATGGAGAAAAATTCTTTATTTCAAATGAGGTAGTTGCCTGATTAGCAGGAAATACATGGGTTTTTATTTTGTTTTAGAAATATATAGCAGCCTGCATTAATATATATATATATATATATATATATAGCTGTCAAATTGCAACACTCTTTTTGTCTACACGTATCTTATGGCTAAGAATCAAGATCAAGCGTACACAATTCTTCTTTTAAATTGAAAAATAGGAAGACCAACGATTCTTACATGAATCAATGCAATTAAAATTATTATGTGAACTAACGAAATTAAAGTTATCGTTCAATTGCTAACATCATTATCTCGTTAGTTCAGTCAATGAATTTGCAACAAGTTTTATCTTCAAATTTCAACATATTTGTGTTATTCTATTTTTATTAATGGTGAACTCAAACATGTTTTGATCATTTTTAATTATCTATTACGTATCCTATATTTTTTATTTATCCGATGTATGATTGATTGACTTATTAGAAAAAATTTTGACAATCATCTAATTCAATTAACAAATGCATAAATTTTGAGTATAATCAATAAAAATTAGTCTAAATTTTTATTTTGAATATTCTTATTTCAAATAACATGTTTTTCTTCTATTTTTTTTATTAGTTGGCTAGGCTGCTAGTCAAGAAGTACATTGCTTTGCTCCAAACTTTTAAGTTGACTTAATTATTCATCGGTTAAACAAGTTAACCCGTTATTGCCCTTAAATTCCATGGTTGAAAGAAATAGCGGAACGTCTTGCAAGTTTTTTTCCCGCTTTTTTTTATTGCAACTTTGTTATTCTCGAGTAATGAATAGGGATGTAAATAATACATTAGTATTTGTAAGTTATTCGGATTCGATTCAAAAAAAAATTTGAATTCGATTCGATTATTATCGAGTTGAGTTCGAACTCGAGTAGCTCGATTTATCGATCCAGTTAAATTTAAGTATTCTTATATTCGATTCGAGTAGTTCGCAAGCTTAATCGAGTTTTTATATTTAAATATATTTTTATTATTTTAATTAATAAAATATTTCAAATTCGAGCTCAAGCATAAATAATCGAATTCAAACAAAAGAATACATATTAATCGAGCTTAATCGAGCGAGCTCGAGTAGTTCGAATTCGAGCTCGAGCTTAAAAAATAAAACTCGATCGAGTTTGAGTCGATATCGAGTCACGAGTTGTGAGTGGAGATCGAGTTCGAGCTTTTCACTGTATCGACTCAATTCGATTCGATTATATCCCTAATAATGAGTAGACAAAATTAATCGGAATTCAAAAATTCATTTGAATTGATTTAAGATTGAATCTAAACTTATTTAGATTGACAAAATAAATAATTGAAACTTAAAAGAATTTTAATTTGAAAATATCAAACAAAAAAGAGTTCAAAAGCGGTACAATTTAAATTCGTTATAATTCAAATTTATAATAATCAAAATATATGATTAATTTGATAATAAATTCGATCTAAAACTTGTAAAAAAACGAATTTAGAATTCAAAGATATAACTTGTTAATCTTTACGTGAGTCTTTTTTTTTTTTTTTGCAAGATTATAGTTTTTACTAATCTTCACAAGAGTGACATTCGTTTTAAGTGTTTCATTTCTTCTTTCTAAGAAGCCAATGTTCCAAAAAAAAAAAATGTCATGCATGGATAAGAATGTCATTCAACCAAAAATCCACTGGATTACTATTAAAAAATTAATGGACATCTTCAACGATTTTTTAAATGCTAATTAAAGGTTAAGAATAGCCTGTATTACTAATCATATTTGATTTTATCAAAACTATACAAGTCATTAAACTTAACAGCTTTTTCTGTTTTTACTATAGTTTCTCTGTCGTTTCACCCAATTCCCACAGGCTTTCTTCTTCTTTTGATGAAATTCAACTAACTTTGAATTAAAATTTGATAATGATAATATGAACCCATTCATTCAATACCAAGTCAACTTTTTTCTTCCTTCTCCACAACCCCAAATATATATAAAAATGGGGGGGGGGGGGGGGGGGGGGGTTGGGCGAATTGCAACAAGTTAATGGACAATATTCCTTTGTTTAAATCTACACACAAATAAAGCTTAGAATTTAATGGGAAAAAAAGGAATTGTTCTTGTCAAAAGTAACAAAGCTGTGTTGATTGATAAATATTTGGAAGTTTTGCTCTCTTCGTAAAGTTGACATATACTCTTCACTAGTGCTAATCCAAATGACACGTCTCCTCATTCAATGCTCAAAGGTTAGCCTCCTTATTTTTGGTTGTATCCGTTTCATGTGGACAAATCAAAAGCTGTCTTCAATGGCTCAAGAATGTGTTTACGTTGGTTATATTGACGGGTCAAGGATAAAGATGCTAATCTCCAAAGGGTGAAAATTTTATAGTTTCTAACCATGCTATGCTGTATTTGATGAAAGAAAATTCTATACAGGACATCAGAATTTTGCTTCTTCACCTTCATGCAGCTCTCAATCTATATCAAATAAATAAATAAATAAATATATATATATATAGAAAGATGCAAAGCCGGTATAAAGAGTTTTGATAAAATTAAATAAGATGGGTGATGTAGACTATTATTATTCAATAAATTTGTGAAAATCTCTAATTTTTTTTTATAAAAATTATAATTTAAAAATTAAAAAAATTATAAAAGTTGAAATTTGAACCCATGTAACCACTTGACTGATATTCTCCAGAACGCGTTGTCTTCCGCCATTATAAGATTTCACAAGTCCGTTTGCTCAAAAATTGGAGGCTGAAAAGCCAGTTGCTGATGATTACTAGTCTCTACATTTATGCATATTACTAGCAACTTGGTAACGTCACTTCCCTTCTCAATAAGCACAGCCCGTATGTGTCTCACATGCGTTGGATATGATTGCAAACTTCAATTCGCAAAAGAGAGTTTTCTTTGTACATGATATTCGTCTCGTCTTTTTGAGAGAAAAAATTCATCCAAATAGTAAAAAGAGGAAAAGGAAAAATGTTGGCAATTTCATCCAATCATTGTCCCAGCACAAACAAAATCCAGCTACTTGTTTTCATTATTCAACTTGGTTACAAGAAAGTTCTCTATCACTTCATCACAAAGTTCAAGTGTGGTTTCCATGTTCCCTTCCTCATAATTAATATCAACAAAATAACTGTATATCTCTTTATCTGCTGCCAACCCTTTTTTTCTCATCTCATCAAAAATTTCTCTTGCCTCGGAAAACTTTTTCCTCTTAAGAAAACCCTTAATCAGAACATTATATGAACTAGCTGTAAGATTAAATCCCTTCTCACTCATTTCTCTGTGTAGAAACCATGCCTCTTTCATATTCCTCGCTTTACAATGCCCTTTTATCAAAATGTTATAGGTGTTTTCATCCGGCATCACTCCTTGAGCAGACATACCTTTATACATTGCAGTAGTGGCACGCATATTCTTTCTAATGCAGTACTGCTTCATAAGAGAATTATAAGTGGTTGCGTTAGGTATTATACCCTTTTCCAGCATCCATTGTAGTAACCTCTCACCATCTTCGAGCATTCCAGACAAACAAAACCCATTCATCAGCACATTGAACGTAACAAGAGTAGGTTGAAGTCCTCTATCTAGCATCTTCTTCAGAAGCTCATGAGCTTTATCCATCTCCCCTGTCTTACAGTAAGCATCCATTAGAGTGGTATATGTAAAAGCATCAGGAAGGAGCCCTGCAATCTCCATTTCTTTCATCAGTTTAATAGCTTGTGCAATATTTCCTGCTTTACAGAGCCCATTAACAAGAGAGTTGTAAGTAAAGATATTTGGCTGAAGGCCCCTTCCACACATTTCATGAAGAAGCTCATTTGCTGTATCTACCTCCCCACATTTACAAAGTCCATCAGCCAATGCAGTGTAAGTGACAACATTTGGTATAAGCCCCATCTGAACCATTTGATTATGGAGGGAGAAGGCCTCTTTCATTTCTCCTGCTTTGCAATAACCATCAATAAGTGCTGTATATGTAACTTCATCCGGTTCCAACCCTTTGCCCAGCATATCTTGAAAGACATTACAGGCTTCTGTCATCTTTCCAGTTCTACAGAAGCCACAGATTATAGATGTATGAGTTAATAAATCAGGGGTTATTTTTCGACCCTTCATCTCATTTAACAACCTATTGGCAGAATGAATATTTCCTAATTTACAGAAACCATATATAAGAGTTGTGTATACCACACTATCAGGAACTATTCCCTGGTTCATCATCTCTCTGAAAACCTTATCTGCTTCAGCTACCTTACCAGTCTCACATAGCAGATAAATTATGCTGTTATACGTGTAAGGGTTAGGCTTTAAGTCTTTTGTTTGCATTTCCTCAATGAGCCTTAACACCTTTTGCAGTTTACCGGCATGACAATATCCATTGATTATGGTGCTATAGCTTACAACATCTGGAATGCAGCCCCTCAACACCATTTGCAAGAGCAAACGGTGGGCTTCTTTTATTTTCCCAAATTGACAAAGAGAATGAATTATAATGTTGTATGATGCAGTATTCCAACAAACACCCACTTCAGGAAGTTCAATGAAAACCTTTATTGCCCTCCAAAGCCCATTAAAATGGCCTTTTAATTTGTTAAGATATACGTTACAAGAATCAACAGAGATAACCAACCCATAGTTCAACATTTTGTCGAAGAGCTGCCTTCCTTCATCAAGCATCCCAGCTTCAACAAGGACTTGAAAGAAAATATCAAACACATTGGGATCCAAACCCCAATCCTTGTAAGTGTAAATTAACCGCTCAATGAAATGATTGAATGATAGACCAATATCCAAATCAGATTTTGACCAAAAGTCATGAATAAGCTGATGAGCCATTTTTAAATCTTTTGAAGCAACAGCAATTTGGACAATAATGCAGCAGGCTTCAAGTGTTGGCTCTCTACGCAGGCATGCCCACTCAAAGAAATCCAAAACAAGTCCATAATCACCCTTAATGTTCATCAGAACCCAAATTAAATGATCGGATCTAAATTTGGACTCATAAGGCTTTAAAACACGATAGAGTGGCTCAGAACGGCATAACTTTATTGCAGTTGAGATTTGATGCACAAGTTCTGAGTCCTTGATGGTAGGTTTCTTTGGGGAATAATCAGGAAATGGTCTGGTGTTGGTGGAGTGCGAGAAGTACAGTATTTGGCCCAAATATTTTTTGAAGAAAAATGGATGAGAATTTGGGGCAAAAGTTCGGAGGTAAGAATGAGATAAGAGCTGGAAACAGTGGCTCAAGGAAGAGACCGCACACCTGTTCATCTTTGCTGGTGAAACCCATTATGAGAACTTTTGAGAATCCTTGTTCAACAAGACAGCAGCTCCTCTCCATGCAGAAGAAACAAAATGAAGGAACTTTGTCATCAGACCATCGTACAGAGAATGCAAATTATCATGACAAAATCTGCATATATTAGGATAGTAATAAATATAAGTCAGGAAGGTAGCATATCTGTCAAACCATTTGTTCAGCAATACTTTGTTTTTGCTAAATTCTAAGTGAGATCAACTGCCCATTAAAATCACCATCAGGTAACACATTAAGTTAATATCCACAAATTCACCATTGTCTTATCGTTTAAGCTAAATTTGTACACAAAACTGTTGATCAATATGGAGTTAAACTCAATAGTCAAACAATGCCAGAAGTCAGATCAACAACAGGATTTCTAAAGAGCGGAGCTTCATGCCTATCAATATTTTGCCTAATTGTTCAGCAAATAACTTAGAAAATCTTAGTCCACCTCTTTGAATTGTGAAATCAATAAACATTATCTGATGAATTTGAAGCTAATGAAACAAAGAATATATAAACCAATGCTATGCAGACAATGAAATCTGAAGCACCAGTGTATTATCCATTTATATCTCCAAATGAAGACGGCCAATCCACTGGGCTTCGTAATAAATGGGGAAGAAAAAGAGAAATTTATCTATTGAGATAATGATGCCCTTAATTAATATGGTAGTACTAGTCCTAAAGATCAACATCTCAATAAAGCCGTACAAAAATCAGCATAGCTGTTTGCACAAGCTCTTAGCACAAGCTCATTCATCCAGATTTCCACTGCACAGTATTCGGTAGCCTTTTTTGTGATGATGAAGAAAACACATAAATTAGTTAATGGCTGACATCCTATATCGAGTTCCACTATTAGAAACTTACAAAGAGCCTATTCAATCACCTTTCGAAAGTCGTCACGGTAACAAACATATCATCAATTCCTTTTGTTTTTGTAAAATGAAAGAATCAGAAACCACTTACTAACGAAAGAAGCTAAATTCAACAGCTTAACAAATGTACACTTTTTTTTACTCCCATATGAATAATTATCTCATAGGCAATTCAGCGAACATCAGTTATGTAAACTTTAGATTTTTTACCCTAAGCATTGGCATTCAACCATACGAATTTCCAAAGTAAAATAACAATTCACAAAAATCTATCATCTTATTTGAATCCATAGAGAAAGCCGAAAACGGCTGGAACCACACTTTGCTGCAGATTTCAATAAGGACTTCAAAGAAAAAGAAAAGAAAAGAAAAGCACATAACAAAGCAAAGCAAATAAAGAAAACCCTTTAAAAGAAAACAGGTGGAACCTTGAAGTCGATCAAAGTCAGTACCAACCTGCTTCAATTGGTTTTTAGTTTCAAAGAGGCAAAGCGATTTTGCTTCAGCTGATCGGCTGGAGAAGAGAGCACATATCAGTTGGGCGTGGGACTTTGGACAACGCTTCCTCCTAGAGCGTCTGAGGGCCGGGGCACGTTGGGCTTCTATATTTTTTCAATAGGCCTCCGGTTGGGCTTCTGGTATATAGAAATTTCAGCTGTTAGTAATGCAGAAAACTTTATTTTAACGATTACAAAGGTTCACTTCTATTATCTATAATCTACATTTATAAGCATGTGGAGAATCGTGATGAAAATAAACATGTATATGAATTATACTTCTATATTGTTATTTTCATTGTTTTAAAAACATATTAATAAAATTTATTCAATTTAATAATTGAAAGATTTTTATTATATAAATTTATGTAATGAATAAAAATTAAAATTTACGTTAAAATTTTTTTAAATTTATTTTAAGTTAAAATTAATAAACTTTATGCACTATAAGTAGAGGTGAGACAATAGATGGACGGTTTGTGACACAATATGACTTAACTTATTATAATTTGTGTCGACACGATTCATTTTATTACAATAATTGTGTTAAGCCAAGACCAATCCTCTTAGCCATGCCATATTGAGCTAAGCATTTCAAGACTCATGGGCTGGCATGGCAAGAGCCCATAATTGACCAAGGGTTGGCTCACAATACAATTCTCGCATAACACCACTTATATTTTATAGGCAAAGATATACAATCAATTAATTCTTTAAAAAGATCTATCAATTTTTTAACAAAATAGTTTATTTTGTTATAGCAAAATAAAAGGATCCATCCACATTTAAAAGGATCGATTTTTTTTAAAAAAAACTCATAAAGATCAGTTGGTTGAAGCTGAAATGTTGCTTAGAAGAAAATTTTGTAAAATTTATTATTTTTTCATAATATGTCACTAATATAAAATATATATATATATATATATATAAACTCACGACTTTTTTAAAAAATTAATGTAAAAAGTTTTTTTTTTAAATTATTTGATGGCCCATGGGTTAACACAACTAACCCATATCGTCTTCGAGCTATGAACCGTTTTGGGTTTAAGAGTTTTTTAATAAAAATCGTGCCTCACACAATATATATATATATATATATATATATATATATTGTGTTGAATCAATCCAACCCATTATAGTGTGGTTCCAAAAATAGAATCGTATCATATTGACTCATTCGATCTATTTTATCACCTGATATACTTTAAACATAAGATAAATTTTACATGTTAATATGATTAATTATTTATAATTCTTTTTCTTATTTGGTCAAAGGGAAGAATTCTTAGTCAACTTTTTTTAAAAGAATATACAAGTATTATTCATTAACTCAAAGTTAGAAATCGAATACTTATTTTTTTTAAAATGATAGATTCTTTAAAGATTATACACTAATTACATAGACATATATATTGGGTGCAATTAATTTATTTTTCTAATTAAAAGCATTTATGCTTATATATAGAGGTTATTGGATGGTTGAATGGATTCGGACTGTTAAGATCAGTTTGATTTCAAGTTTAAACTATTTACCGTTTAGGTTTATTTTGCATTTGAATTGTCTCCACTAATAGGAGGCGACAAGACGGGAGCAGACATAAGAAAGATCAGTTCCAGCGGTCGGTCTGTAAAGCAAGATGGCAGGGCCGGTAGCCTTCTCTACTTAACCTTAACTAACAAGAAGTGGAGTCTACGAGTTCCACTCTTGCACTGTCATATTGGTAGCCGTTGTCCATGTTTGATTGGGAAGTCCAGGGTCAAAGTGTTGCTATCGGTGAAATGATTCTCTTTCTCTAATCTCTTTGTAGAGGTATACCAAGGTAAATGTATGTCAACAGATTGTCACGCCGTATGCCCTCTTCATCGAAAAGTTCCCAGTTGACTGTAATCGAGGAGGTTGAGCATGATCGCTTTCAGTTAGATGCACATCAATGATTCTGGTCGATGTCACGTCAACGATTTTGAACTCCTGTCGAAGAGGAAAAGAAAGAGCAATATCTAAATAAAAAAATATATATAATCAGACAATCAAATGATTTCAAATTTAAATTATTTTGAATTCTAATTATTTTAAATTTGAGTTATTTTTAAATTCAAGACATTTTAAATTATACTCATTTTTTAGTTCAATTAATCTTAAATTAATTATAATTTTAATCTTTTTATGAATCTTAAATCAAACATATTTTAGGTTCGAATTGTCACAAATTTAAATTATTTTAAGTTTGTATTACTTTAAGTGCAAATAGTTTCAAATTGAAACTTTTTCACATTTATTTTCTTTTTTTCAAAAAGACAAGATTAAAGATAGAATATGCTTTGATACTGATTAAAATATAAACTTATATATTTATACAAGTGATGTGATAAACTACAAGTTAGGATCATTACAAGAGATAATTACATAAGATTAAATGCAAAACTATCTTATGTTTTATTGATGATATATATGGATGAGTTAGATTTGATTGCATGTTCTTATCAAGAAATTATTCTATTGAAATTTTATTTTTATTCATTGATTCCATACATTCCCTCAAAATGGAAGATCCATGAGCGACTCCAATCTTGCACCGTAGTTGTTGAAAATGTGGCTTGGTCAATGCTTTTGTTAAGAAAGTAGCTAATTATTCATAAATAGAAATATCAAAGACTGTAAGCAAGTTTTTGTGCACCCTATCTCCAATAAAATGAAAGTTAATAGCAATGTGCTTCATCCCAAAATGCATGACTGGGTCCATATTTAATAAAAATTAGATAAAAAGAAAAGAGATGTTGTAATGGCAGGACTTTTTCATCTCCCCAAAATCCATTTTTTCTTCCTCTCAAAGGGTTAAACTATATTTAGCTCCTTAATTTTCATCTTTTAATTTTACCCCAATTCACCTGGGACGAGAATTTATCAAAAACTCTACATAACCCCTGATGCAGCATGCTTCGCTTTCCCAAAAAATCAGCAATCATAGTTGCACTTCTACCAGCATTCAAGTCCGAGAAACAACTCCAAGGCCCTAAATTCTTCATTGAAGAATTGGGTAATGTGCTTCATCTCAGAATGCATGACTGGGTTAACACTTAAGTGCATCCTACGCTTCTTTTGAAGTTTTAGTTGTAGTCACAGTTAGAACTATTAATTCTGATACAGAAGTGATGATTGCATATTGTAATAGCTGGTCTTATCTGTTCCAATGGAAGTAGGCTTGATGTGGTTTATTTTTGCCATCCTTGTTGGTAAAGGTGAAAGCCGTGGGAAAGTTCCATCCACGTAGCCAAGGAGATTGTATCCCACTAAAACAGACTTAAATTGAACTTGTCATGCCGAGTAGTTTGAAGACGTGGGTTTAAAAGGTAGCTGGCAGCAGAGTTAATAGCAAACAAATTTGTGCTATTCATATGAAAGTGAAAAGATGCTTAAGTCATTACCAGCCATGGTTGAATGACCAACGTTGGTGGAAGTGCTATTAGACTCAATATTGGATTTGTTGGCAATCATAGACCGTCTTACTCATAAGAGTTTAAACTAACTCTCATACCATAAAGAGGCAAGACTAAAGGCAGAATATGATTTGATATTGGTTAACGTATAAACTTACGTATTTATACAACTAATGTGATAACCTACAAGTTAGGATAATTACAAGAGATAATTACATAAGACCAAATACAACGCACTATCTTATGTTTGACTGATGATATGGATGAATTAGACCTGATTGCATGTTCTTATCAAGACATTGTGCTGTTGAAACTTTATCTTTACCCACTGCTTCTATAATTTCAACTTTTCCCAACCAATTCATATCACGTCTAAAATCAATCTGAGTAGTTTTTCAAATTCAATCAAATTTTATTGTCTTTACTTATACATAGGCGATGTTATACATATTCATTGTCTTAACGAAATAATTCATGCTAAAAGGAATTCCATGATTTGATGTGCTGGGGCATCTTAATTTCAACCTACACTTTAATTACATTTGTTAATAGTATTTTGAGTAGAGATGAGCTGGAAGATGAGTTGGGAATGATCTGGACCTACAACAAGAAAAGCATAGATAAGGAACGTTGAAGTTTGACTTTCGGAGCACGTTATGATGTTCAAATTATGAGATTAGAATTTTTAAGGAATAAGATAAGTTACAAAGAATATTGAAGAAGCTTAAGGATGAAAGGTTCAAAATAATATATTTAGATCATTTTTTACTTTATATAAAAGACATGAGACAATTACACGATACAAGTACATGATAATTAATGATAAATTCATATAAAATTTTAAAAAAATTTAGATGAATTAAAATGAATTATATTCCATGATTTTAAATAAAATAAATTAACGTAAAGCGATCTATTGATGTGACGCTAGTAGACTTAGTTGGACAAACTATCCCTGTGGGGAAGAAGCCTTGGTAGGCGAGCAATTCTGAGACAAGTCCGTATGAGGGTTGAAGAGCCTGGACATCAATCTTCTCGGATTGTGACGTGGAAGTCGAACATATGCTGACTTAGCAAACATAGATGTTGACCTTGTTGACTTGTCAATTAGGAGTAACAAAATTCAGTAACACCAAAGGGATTATTTGACAACCACCGAGTAGAATCCAAAAGCGAAAGAAAATCTTTTAGAGGTGCAAGCAAAATTTTGTACACAGATAAACAAGGTTACCTTTAACCTGACTCATTTTAATATTTTACTCATTCCATCCTTTTAAACCGTATCATGGTAAGTGCTATGGTCCCATATGAAATTTCATAGCGATTCTGTATTAGAATTAGATTTGATATATAAGTATTTATATCATTTTTTATTTTTGAGGTATTGATATTTTTAATAAAAAAAACTTTGAGATTCGATGGATCAAAATAGATAAAAACTTACAAATTGATATGAATTATAATATTTAGTATCAAAGTCAATTTAAAAATATTAGTGATGTGTTATCAAAGATGATAATCTCTTATTGAAGTGAAGAAGTTATTATAATTTAAAAAAAGAATTACAAATCTCACGTCAATTTTATCTAGAATTCAATGTATGGTATAAATATTCATACTACTTTTAATTTATAATACGTTTATTATGAAATAAAATCGTAATTTTTAATGAACTAAAATGGATATTATATTGGAGTTGACATAGACGACACTAGGACTAAGAATACAAGCTGAGAATACATTACATGACTAGATTGACACCACTCCAGCAGAACGCCCATTATATATTAATGTTCTTGTTAATTAAACCAGAAGAACAAAGCAAAAGATTGTCCCCACTCTCCATTTCAAACCTTTTTTTTTTTTTTTTTTTGCTAACAGATTAAAGTTCCTCTTAATTGAGATGCCTGGCTTATAGTTGTAAGGCTTTGGTTTCAGTGGAGCAACGTTCATAAGCCTAACTATTTTTGATAGGCCCCATGTCATGGGATGGCGATTGCATATCTCAATTAAAGAGGGGAAAAAGGTTCCCTTCTTCATCAAGCCATAAAATCATTAACTTTTTTGTCGACAAGTGGTTTTGTTTAATATTAATTAATGTATGTTAAACTGATCAAAGCTCCTTTAGAAGATGAAACATGAAATTTTAATTGAGTACTTTAGTGCTTTAGAACTTGTAAATGGGATAATAGGGGAATGAAACTGCATTTATATTCGACCATATCCAATCTCCATTGCTCTTTCCAATCCTTCTTGTTTATCATGTTGTGCCTTGTGGGGTTGAACCAGTGGACTGGACATTGTTTTCATCAGAAACACAAGTGCTCAAATCATGGACCTTCCTTAGTTGTATTTATATTCCATTGGCTACCCTTGTTTTCAGTGTGGAGGGTTAGGTATGAGCAATATAATTAAGGAACTTTTGCAAATTTTTTAATTGAAGTTCTCAAATTTAAAGTTCATGCACCCACATCTTCATGAATCACAGAGGTCAAGAAAATTATATGGTTATCTTGCAACATTATCCTGTCAAAGCAAAGAAAATATGGTCATTTAACTACTTGTAAATTTCAAACTGAAGTATTGGAATATGAGAGATTCTGTACCTCTATTATATATTTTTTTACAGGAAGTTTCTGTCATCTTTCCCATGACTGGATCGATCAATCAAACTACAAAATTTATCCTACATCTTCTTCTTTGCCGTGTGATTTTAATTGTGATTCATTGTTCTAAAATTAACACGTTGGCAGATGATTACTAATTATCATTTGGGGCACGAGTGATGCTCCGATTAAACTAATCCAAGGTCAACGTACGCGTCTTATGACAAATGACATTTCAACCTGTGCCAGATCAACCTCTTAAGGAATGGGGTCCTCGGCCAAGAATCAAGTATATGTGTGAGATTGGATGATCCAACAGGCCAAGGCCAACCGTCCAGTATTTTCAGACCAGCTCAATTTGGTTACACGCAAAGATTCCTAGTCTCTTAACTGGAAAACCGCTGTCTTATGCACATGAATTGTATAGACATTGAACCTGTTTCAGAACTAAACGAAATCGCTCAGATTAAGCTGATAGTGATCAATGAGCCAAACGTATATTCTTATTTCTGGGTTTCTCTCGCCATCGATCTACTTTCACCATGGAAGTGATTAAATGCATTCACAGAGAGGATGGAGGACATTTTGCTTTCACACTAAGAAAAACACAATATGTACTTTTCTAATGACTCATCTTCTCGTCATTTACAAACTTATTCCATGATGTTCTGGCTTTGCGTATTCAATCAAACAACGGTAAAGGTGAAATTTCCTTTTGTTTACTTTTTTTTTTTCTCAATCTTCTTGGCAGGCGAACCAAGATATCTTGAATCAACAAATGTAACTTTAATGTAAGAAGCCATCATCAAAACTGCAACGCGAGCAATAGTTAAGAAAACAAAGCATCTAAACAATAGGGAAAAGCAAAGGACCCCAAAACCTAGCCAGTCTCACACCGAAAGTCACAAAAAACAATACCCCATAAAACAAAAGCACATGATGCTTCCTTCCATCTATCTCTCCCTATTCCACTCTCTAAAGGCAGCACTCATTAGCTAGCCGCCTGCTTAGTACAATATATATCAATTCCTCACTTGACACTTCACAACTTTTCTCACACAATCCTCTCTAACTTAATTCCCTCTCTAATTCTCTAAGTGTAGCCAAAAGATGGAGCTAAAACACTACTCTTATTCTATCACTCTCCTCCTCTTCATCTCTTTGATCTTTCTTCCCTCCCTGGTCTCATCTCAGGCCTGTCAGAGAACTTGCGGCAATCTACCTATCAAGTACCCATTTGGGACTGGCCCTGGCTGTGGTGATCCACGCTTTCAAAAATACGTAACTTGCGAGCAACAAAAACTTACCTTGACAACACACACTGGCAGCTACCCCATAACTAACATAGACTACAGCAACCAAGTCATATACATATCAGATCCTTCTATGTCAACTTGTGCTTGCTCCCAGCCGAGCAAAGGCTTTGGCCTCGACTGGGATGCTCCCTTCTCTTTCACAGACGATAATGTTTTCACTCTCCTTGACTGCTCAACCATTTCATCACCGATTTTTAGATCCAATAGCTATAATGTTGATAACAGCAGTGCTGTTCCCCTATGTGACAAACAAGGGGCTCCCATTTGTAGTTACTTGTATTCTTGCAGGGCAATTAGCATGCTCAATCTCCCAATATCCACATGTTGTGTTTATACACCAGTGGATCTGGGCCCATCGTTCGAATTGAATTTGCAGAAGTTGCAGTGCTCTTCATATTCTGGTTTCTATAGCTTCAGTGGCCAGGAATCGAACCCTGATAACTGGAAGTACGGAATATCTCTTAAGTATAAGTTTAATGTATATAATGACTACCCAAACTCGTGCGCAGATTGTGAGAAAAGTGATGGAGTCTGTGGTTACGCTGGAAGTTACGATTCATTTATTTGCAACTGTCCGAATGGCCTAAACACCACATCTACTTGTTTCTTTGTATCATCGTTTAATAATGGTTTGAGGCTACTCCCACTTCAGACAGGTATTTATTACACATCTACATTTTTTGTTTCCTTTTTTACAAACCCAAGCGTATTTTTAATGGTTTGGAATCTAAAATGGTAGTTTGTTTCTTGCTATTGCAGAAACTTTGTTGATTTATCCTCTGGCATGGATTCTGGCCAAGGTGCTGCTATAGGCACCAATTTGAGAAGGAAGAAATTCCAACTTCCAAAATGCTCAAGTTTGACTTTACTTTGCTGGTTCTACGACTTGTGCAATGCGAGAGCAAAAAATGTTCAACTTCTCACACGTTTGATAAGGATAAAAAAAAAATGCTTTGTTAATTGTTGTAATTTATCTTCGGGTGGAAGAAATGTATGTGAAAAAGACGATAGTTTCATTTAACTTTCATTATTATTATTATTTTTTTTGGTGTAGACGGTGGATATGAATATTTTATTATCTTAGGGATGAAGTTACTTGCATTTAATTTTTGTACAGCTGGGAATCCATATATAAAGTGATTAAAATTACCGGTCCACCCATCAAAGCAAGCTAAGTGTACAGTCCTTTTAAGGTGATAAGGAACATTGGCTTGCCCTAAAAGTAAGAATCAGGTTTAAAAGCAGAAATTTCAGAGAGGCTGGAGGGAGTTTGAGAGTACTAAAAACAAGATCATGGAATAAGATTCCTTCTTTTGAGTACTACATCCACTAAAAGAGAATTGCTTTCGCTGTAAAGGTTCTTTATTTGTATTTCCATTGGCAAGCTCTAGAAAGTGATAAAGAAAGATGTATTCCTCCAGTTTTGTTCTCTCCTCATTTGTAGACAACTTTTGTAGGCAAATCATTTTTTTACAAAGAAAACCGTAACGGGATTGCAGACCAAGACTATTACAACCACACATTGATTGAAATGCCATAGGCAGCTAACATCAACAAAGCTGTGAGAATAGGGCTAGGATCCAGTATATTTACTAGGAGATGTCTAACCAGATTACCAGGCCAAAATCTAAAAAAGCAGAACATTAGCCCCAATTAGTTTCCTAAATCCTTGATGGAACATGCTTGGGTCCTTTGACAAATGAAATAGAACTAGAATTTCACCCTTGTTGCGAGATTATTTTTTTTATTTTAATTTATTTTAAAATTTAGTTTCTTTTACATGCTTTTATATATGTTAAAGAATTTTTTCTATCTCATTATTTTAAAAAATTATTTTTTAAGTAGTTTAATATACATCAATATCAATGTAAAATAAAATTATTCTTCACATTTATATAATAATAGAAAGTCATTAACTTTTTTATTTATCTTCATCATATTATTGTTTATATATATATATATTGAATATACAAATTTTGTGTTTAAAAAAATTCAATTGATCTTGACATGCATATATCAATAATCAATTTATTCACAACAAAACAATAACAAAGCTCCACACTAATATCAAGCAAACTTGACAAATCAAGATTGATAAAAATTAATCTAATCAAGATTAAAGTTCTATATATCATTTCTCAATTGATTTAAAAAAAAGCAAACCAAAACAATTTGCTTTTTCTTTTAAAAAAAATTATAGTACCATCATGTTACTAATTCCATTTTGCCAATTCTCTTTTTCTCTATATTTTGATAATGCAAACAAGGCTACATAGCTCTTTACCATTAATGTAGTCAAAATCTAAAAACTTTTAATTGCATTATATATTAATTTAAAATGAAAATGTATTAATAAAGATATTTGCATTTGTTTTAATGCTTTAAAAAGGTATCAGTAAAATTCACTTTAAACTTTCTTCAAATTTAAATATATTTGAAAAAATGGTGATGCTGATTCAATTATGTAAGGTTCATTTGTTTACCTTCAATCCATATTTTCGTAGCAAAAAAAGGTGTTTAAGGTAATCATATTAGGAATGACTAAAAGCAGTATAATGATATTTGTTCTTTTGTTTTCATCTAAAGAATAGGCTGATATTAAGAGAAACAAATATAAAAAAAATCTTATTTTTTTTATTTCTTTTAAAGGTAGATAAATAGACAAATAAAATCATACAACAAAAGATTATGAAAAGATTCATTAACATTATAAAATCTAAGTTTGATTTTGACTTTACCAAGGCTACACTGCCATTCTACAAAGATGAGAGAAAATTTTTAAAGGAAAGAAATTTGAACTAATTGATAAAACTATAGTGAAAGGAAATTCTTCCAAAACTTGAAGCAATGGAACATTTATCTGATAAACGAAAAATATTTAAAGTGTTGATAACTTGAAATTGTTGTGGCAATTAACAAAATTTCAAGTAGGTAAAAATGGACTCAACTTATTCCTTTAAATTGTAATTCAAAGCAATGAATACCTACAATAAAAAGAGAAACCAAATTATACAATATTTGTAACCTACATTGCCTAAAATATAAGTCTTAAATTTCATATCAAATTCAAAGTTAATTGCCAATACTAAATCGCAAGAGAAGGAAAAAAACACATTAAATGTCATAAAAAATGCATTCAATGTTAGAAAAAGCTATTTTCAATAAGAATGTGAAACAACAAATTTTTAAATAAATATATCCAACATAATAAATGTGTTTATTACATGCAATTAGGAGTATAAATGATACATTAATACTCACAAACTACTTAAGTTTGATTTGAATAAAACTCGAATTTGATTCGATTATTATCAAGTTGAGTTCGAGCTTGAGTAGCTCGACTTATCGATCAAGCCGAGTTCGAGTATTTTTATACTCAACTCGAATAGCTTATAAGTCTAATCGAGTTTTTATATTTTAATATATTTTAATTATTTTAATTAATAAAATATCTCAAACTTGAGTTCGAGTCCGAGCATAAATAATCGAGTTTTTGTCAAATATAAGAATTAAGCTTATTTTTACATGTTAATCGAGTCTAATTGAGCGAGCTCACGTAGCTTAATTTTTATCTCAAGTCAAGTTCAAGCTAAAAAAGTAAAACTTGATCAAGTTTGAGCTAAATTTCAAGAATCAAATTTGGAGTTGAGCTTAAGCTCGAGCTTAATATTGTATCAACTCAAACTCGATCAATTACACTCCTACATACAATATTTAAAAATAAATTTACTTAAATAAAACATTTAAGCTTTTAAAACTTTCAAATTCTTTCTTCTGAAGTAACATAAAACCTCTCCAAAATATTAATCCATTGAAATATATTGACTTGAATACATTAAACCAAAACATTTCCGAAACAAAATATAAACAAAAAAAGGTTAAATTTCATCAAATCAATCTATTAATAATAAGATAATGATAATAAAAATTTAAGATGACATATTTTGCTATCTTATTGCAAATAAGTAGATAAATGAATCAACCAAAAAGCATATAATTCTATCAATAAATTATGAAAGCATCTATATATACAACCAAAAATACAATTGATATTAAACTCAAAAATTCACTCAAATGGAAATACTACATTTATAAAATAAAATAAAATTTTCTAAAGTAAGAGTTTGGGGATAGTTGGGGTTTAAGGATTTGGTTTAAAATCATTCAATATTTTACTTGTATTCAGCCATAAACATAGAAGTTAAAGCACCAATCCCAAAGACCTAACATCATTAAGCAAAGTAAGGCAACAACTTTATGCATATATCACAAATCTTGTGAAAAACTAAAACCCTTACAATATGATTATTCTTAAATAAGCATTTTGAAATTCAATTAAAAAATATAATATAATATAAAGACAAATAAATTTTTTAAAAAAATATGAAAACGGAAAAAATTAAAATTAGAGAACAAACATATTATACTTCATAATTATTTCCAACAATATATACATTATAGCAAACTGATTGATTTAAGCTCTAAAAGATCATTTTTTATTAAAAAAATACATGATAAAAATCCTAAACAATCTAATGCATTGTGAGACTATAATATGCAATAACTTAAACCTTTGAGTTTATCGACAACATCAAAATGAAAAACTTATTGTAATATTCTAATTAGTTTACAATTATATGAATTTCAATCTCATTTTTTTTTCTTTTTGGTTTCTTTGTCTCACCTTTCCATTTTTTCTATATTTTTTGTAATATAATATGTAAAACAAATTTAAATAACAGATGAATCATCAACACAAAGCAACAAAGCCAATTATACGTGGTTTGCAACAAAAAAGTATAATCTAATAAAATAACAAAGAAAATAACAACTTCTAAGAACTTACATGAAAAGCTTGTGGGTATCTGTATAAATGCAGTAAAATAACTTAAAAAAAGGTATTAAATCAATAAAAATATCATGAGATAGTAAATAAAAATAAGACAAAGATATTGAAAGTGCCTAAAAAATAAAATTGAAACTCATATCTACACATGTAAAAATATTACAACAAAAAAAATTAAGGTAATAAATGTTATAGATAACAAAAAATCTTCAAAAAAAATTAAGATTTAAAAACATACAAAGTCAGAAACATGTTAATCGATTTGCCTAGCATCGATCAGATATAGAAAGTGGACGACGACAATAATAATGGTGAATCTTGACAATAGAAGGTGTTGGAAAATTTAAATTGGAGGAAACACAGAGCTAAGGGAGGAAAGTAACATAGTCAAATTTTAGACTATTTCACCTGGTGGATATGGAGCTTTTAGAAAATTGAAGTGATGAATTTTAGATTTAGATCTAGACTTTTCTTAGTTGATTTTTAAAATTCTAACTCAATAGATGTGAATAGAAAATCAAGAGGAGGTTGAATGTATTTTTTTTTATGAAAATTCATTGCTAGCAAATAGCGATCAACAATGAATGAACGGTAAAAGAGACGTTATCAATTTTCTTTTTAAAGGGTTGTGGAAAAGTGAGGAGGTGATAGAGTTTAAAAGGTGAGAGATAAAAGAGGAAATGAAATAAAAAATATATATATAAAATAATTTTTTAATAAAAAAGACATGCATGTGATTCACCCACTCGTCACTTACCACTTTCACCTCAAATCTTAATGATCTTATTAAAATCACGTTACTCTTCACTTAGTACCATCATCTCAAATCATTTTTTATACCATCATCTCAATCATTTTATTAGAAAAATTTTTTAAAAATAAGTGAAAGAATTGAAGAAATCTGAGGTGAACACCATCAACATTAAAAAAAAAAAATGTGCAACCTTTCTATTATATGGATGAAATGCTTTAAATTCATCTTCGATTTGATTTCAATTTCCAAAAAAAAAAAATTGGAATTGATTACAATTTTTTTAAAAAAAATCCATTTATATTATATCGAGACAAATCGAAATTAATCGGATATAGATTGTTTTATCATCCTTACCTCCGTTAATATTTTTTTACAAAATTTATCTAATAAATAAATAATGTAAAATAAATAAATAAATAAAATGGAAATTAGAATTTTGAAGGAAGGATATGATGACACATGGACACCCTCTCTTATATTTATTGACTTTTTTATTACATAATTTATCTTTAAAAAGTTAAAAAAAATCCATTAGATACAGATTATTTTGTTATTCTTACATTCATTGACTTTTTTTTACAAGATTTATCTTAAAAAGAAAAATAAATAAATTTAATTTAATTTAAATAAAAAATAAAAAGCTTAAAAAACAAAAAAAAAAAGAAAAAATCTTTAAAATAAGTAAAAAACAAATAAAATAAAAAGAAAGCAAAAACTTTTAAAAGATAACAAAAATTTAAAAACAAAAAAAGAAAAAGAAAAGGGGTGCCACGTGGATATCCCTATTGCTCTCAAATCTCTACAAAATTCATGTTATGAATTTTACTCTAATGAGGCACTTGGTTCTCGAAATTGTAAATTTTAAAGGAAAGTGTGATCATCTGAAAAATGCGATACTTGAGGTTTTCTTCTATTTTTAAGGCATTACGTGTTCAGATTCACTCATTTGATTTAGGGAATTCACATATATTAAATCTTGAATAATTAATATAATCTCCTTACATATATGATAGTAACTTAAATAATCTAATTTTTAATTGAAGGAGATTATTCAAGGCGTTTTTTGTCAGAAAATACCTTGAATAATCCTTACAAAAAATTGAATGGAGTTATTCAAGGCATTTGTGATAACAAACACCTTGAATAATCTTCTTCAATTTTTATGAGGGGATTATTAAAGGTGTTTTGGCAAAAAATGCCTTGAATAATCCCTTCTAATTTTTTTAGAAGGGATAATTCAAGGTGTTTTATGCAAAAAAAGGCCTTCAATAATCTCCTCCCTTTTTTTTGGAGATTATTCAAAATATTTTTTGCTAGAAAACGCATTTAATAATCTCTTACAAAAAATTAAATAAGGTTATTCAAGACATTTTTTACCAAAAATACCTTCAATAATCTTTTTCATTTTTTGGGGGGAAAAAACGCCTTGAATAATCCCCTTCAATTTTTATGAGAGGATTATTCAAAGCGTTTTCTAGTCAAAAATGCCTTTAATAATTCCTTCCAAAATTTTTGAAGATTATTCAAGATATTTTTACCTAGAAAATACTTTTAATAATCCCTTACAAAAAATTAAATAGAGTTATTCAAGGCACTTATATTCAAAAACACCTTGAATAGTCCAAAAAAAAGGCAAAGAATTATTCAAGATATTTTTTGTCAAAAAAACTTTCAATGATGCTCTCATAAAAATTTTTAGAGATTATTCAAGATGCTTTTGATTAGAAACTTCTTGAATGACCCAATTTAATTTTTTGTAAAAGATTATTGAAGGTGTTTTTCATGCCAAACGTCATATGTAAAACAAATTTTTTACCAACAAAAACCTACAACTGACTTACATTTATTTCTAGACATGCCTTTTAAAATGGTAATGACTATTTCACAATTTTTTAGTTAGATCAAATTTGAAAGTAATGCTACTTTCTCCTCCGGAATCCTAAAATACCATAGGAAAATGTGAGTTTTTTATTCCAGGACTTTGAATACTATTAAAAATTTGTTAGTTTTTCTCGAAATTATATTACCTTAAACCAAATATTGGAATCAAATACCAAATAGTAAGATTCCAGAAAAAAATATATGGATTTTTTTGAACTAAACACCCCCTAAAAACTATATTTATAATTCTAGAAACGTAGTATTTAGTGTTTGTAACATCAATTAAATATTACGTTTCTAATTTAAGAAATGTAGTTTTTGATGAATTTTTTAATTAGTAACTATGTTTATACTTTTAGAAATGTAATCTTTGTAAAATATATATTTTTTATAAACATCAATTAAAGATTGCATTTATAATTTGAAAAATATAGGTTTTTGATTTTTTTTAATTAATGACTATATTTATACTTTTAGATAGAGGTTTTTCTAGGTCCCATCAACTCTTTTCCTCTTACCTTCTTAATAATTATTCTATCATTTCATATTTTAATTAATAGTCTTAAAAAAGTAAAAGTGATAAAGCAAAAAATAAATCGCCGAATCTTACCGAATCTTTTTCTTTTACTTTCCCATAAATTTTTTTTATAACAAAAAACTACAAAAACTATATTTCTTGTATAAGAAAAATTGTCTTCGTGCATCAAAATATTCTCTTTTTACTTTTTCAAGATTTTTTTTTTTCACAATAAAAAACTACAAAGATTATCTCTTTTATATTAGAGAAATAATTTTTGTGTGCTAAAATCTTCACCAAATCTTCTCCTTATAATTTTCCATCAATTTTTTTGAGAACAAAAAAAAAAAAGGTTATAGGTGAAAGTTCATGAAAATAATACATATTCTCCTTTTACTCTCAAAACTCATGAAAATAATATCACGTTAAAAGTGAAGCCTACAAATACATATGGGTGAAAGTTCGCTTTGGCTTTTCAAAAACAACGTTTTTATATGAAAAATGTGGTATTTAGATTATATTCAAAATTATTTATCGAAAACAAAAGTTATAATCTTTGTTAGCTTTTTAATTATATATTTTTTATATCAAAACGTAATCTTTGTTAGTTATTCATATCAGAAACATTTCACCTATCATTCTCTTATTCTTTTTTTGGTTAAATTAATGAACGATTATCTCTCTCTTTTTCTCAAATATCTTTAGAAAGCAAAAAAAAAAAAAAAAAAAATCAAAAAAACCAAAAAAAATGGTAAACTATGAAGCCGTCAAGTGACACTTCCAATAAAAAATCTTGTGCTCGGTATATTTACACAATTAATCTTATAGACGGATATGACATTTTCTTCACGCCTTGTGCGGCCATTTAGAGTTTTTAGTTTGACAAAAGAAAAGAGGTCTGTGCTGGCAGTATAGTTATTTGGCCAAAGTGAAAAACAAAAGAAAAACATAGAATGATAAGAATTATCTTTCTAGAATTAAAACCTTCAACTTAAATCAGTATTTTTTTTTCATCTCTTTAAACTATATTACAATGTGGATATAGGTTACATGTATGCTCTTCATATTAATTGCTTTTACATTTTTTTTTTTATTATTTGAAACCATCAAAATTTAAATCCTTATGTGTCTTTTTTCTTTTGTATTTAAAGTTATCAAAATTTAAATCGTCATGTCTACTGGCTACTTCATCTTTCGTTGAAGATGCTAACGCCACTGGCAAGGAAATAAGATAAATGCAGAAACCTTTTATCTATCCTTCTCTCATTCTCTCTTTGATTAAATTAATGAACAAATGTCTCTCTCGTTTTCTCAAATATTTTTAGAAAGCAAAAAAAAATTAGAAAAAAACCCAAAAAAAAAGGTAAACTATGAAGCCATCAAGTGACACTTCCTATAAAAAATCTTTGATGGATATGTGATTTTCTTCATGCCTTGTGCAGCCATTTAAAGTTTTTATTTCGACAAAAGAAAAGAGATCTGCGGTGGCAGTATGGTTATTTGGCCAAAGTGAAAAACAAAAGAAGGAAAAATATAGAATAATAAGAATTATCTTTCTAGAATTAGAACCTTCAACTTAAATCAGTACTCTTTTTTTCATCTCTTTAATGTAGATTACAATGCGGATATAGGTTACTTATATGCTCTTCATATTAATTGCTTTTACCTTTGTTCTTTTTTTTTTTTTTTTTGCATTTAGAGGTATCAAAATTTAAATCATGTCTGCTAGCTACTTCATCTTTCATTGAGGATGCTAACGCCACTGGCAAGGAAATTGTATAAATGCAGACAAAATGGCCGAAGTAATGAATGAAGTAATGAATTAATTTGTAAGGGGAGGAGGAAAAGCCCCACTATATCTAACTTAAACCCCATGTATACAGAGATTTACCATAACTACAAAATTTGTTTCTCTGTTTTCCTTTCTCAAAATTACCACCTTGTGAGTGAAAACTATGTCTATTAAATTCTATGTATAATGGTCATCTCATGTTGCAGCATTGGGGCTTTTCTTGATTTAGTAATTTATCCCACATGCATAACATCTGTCTTGGAGATTGGTAATGAGCTGTGTAATAATCCTCGATGCAACCGAACTGGCAAAACTTCAAGCTGTGCTGGTACTCCACTGGCTTAGAACTGTTGAATTTTTCCACCCACATTCCCATGCTTACATCTTCCATCTTGAATAGCTGCAAATGTGCTCAATCGTTTTAATAAACAATAACCAAATCCACTGCCATTTACAAACATGCACAAGCATGCACGCATTTTGCTGAGAGGAAGAGCAGTCCGTAATAAAAATAAATAAATAGATGACTTACTCGCAGCTTGTGTTTCTCAAACTCACCAACAATAAACTGTGCAATGTCTGAAGAAACTATGTACCCTGGACCATTTGCATAGGGTGGGTAGTCTTCTTCCGGCCATTCCTGGGAGTCACCAAAAAATAGAAATTTTGATAAGTAGCAGATTGTGATATGGATAACATATGATGCCCTACACTGAAGAAAAACAGAAAAAAATACAATACTAGTTATGATCAAGATAATAATTAAAGAGATAATCACTAAGGATTAGTTGGCAGAAGGAAGATAAAAGAATAATCCTAAATTCTGCAAAGCTAAAGGGCAACAGATGTTAAGAACTGATGGTTTTAATCATGCCAGGAAACTAGAACCTTTTTGGTGAATCATTCTTTACTGAGAAAACTACCTAAGTAGACATTGAGTAGAGTGAACCTCTCTAAATAGTAAATTATAGGTAAGGCAAGGACATGTTTACCGCTACCTACAACTAAATCCAACTGACCCTTAAATTCCAAATTAGTTTATGTTGATCATAAGACACCTTTTTATGTTTCATGCTCCTCAATTTAGAGCAAGTTCAAAAACTATCACTAAAATATTACTACTTCCAGTATTTACAAATTCAAACAACCTCCCATGCAGCATCAGTTAAAAATGAGAAACAAATTTCTCAGAAGTCAAACTCGGAAAGAAAATTGCTTAATAAATCACAGAGAAAATATATATCATGAATTAATAGCAAGAAGCTCCATCATCTTGCTACTGCAACAAAACACATTAGCTATTCTCATCTGAAAGAAGAAATATTTTATAACACAATGGAGAATATATATAGCAAAGTGCATCAAAATACAAATAATAGCAAAGATGCAGTGGTAAAGATAAGAAAACAAATGTAAAAGAATAAGTTGTTCAAATCACATTCTACTTAAAATTAAAGTGTTGGACAAGGAAACTAATTAAAGGGGATATGACATGTAAATAAACCACCAACATTTGCTGAGATCAACAAAAATACAAACCTCATATGTTACTGCCCATTTACCATTACGCAGAGGTTTGTGGTAGTAATTCATATTTCCGATATACAGGCTTTTGTCTCCAAGCTTCTTTGCTTCCTTAATCACAGAGTCCACCCGAACAAAAGTATCATCATCACACTTCATAATGTATTTTGCAGCCACTGTACGGACCTGTGAACAATAAGATACCATATAAAGTTAGGTCTTGGACACTAGATTTTAGACCTAAACAACAGTATATTTCAATAACTTCTTTTTTAAGATGTACTATATCCCTTGACAAAGCTTAATCTTAGCAAGAGAAAAAAGTAGGCAATTTCGAATCATTCGACCACTCACCCCATATTCACAGATGGCAACTGTCTTCAGTACAACTAGCTCATAGTTATCCATGTAAGGAACTATAACAATATCACCAAAATACTCTGCTTCCTTTTTCAGCTCCTCATTTACTTCCTTTCTTCCATTCTAAAAAAAAAAAAAAGGAAAGTAAATATATCAGGCAATGGGGATTTCCAAAGGAAAGAACTCGTATCTTTATCTACCCTTACCAGTGCTACGAAAAAACGAGCAACTACTTTCAAAGACTTTATTAATTTATGCTGCATCCAGGACTTTCTCACAGCCATTCTCTCACCAAAATGATTGCCTGCACAAAGGATGCCTATAAAAAGCTCTACATTTCCATCAGGAAGTGGTGGTGCCTTCCATTTACTCAACCTCTCAAGATGCTTTTGAGGAGCAAAGCTTGGATGTGAAGTGGGCAAGGAGGCAGCAAAAACGGAGTGCACATCAAGGTCACCCTTTAGTGATAGCCCAGTAGCATCCTCAAGCACAAATCCCTGTAAATGTCATAACAAATTTTAAGACGTTCTATATTTATCAAATCATTCAGCCAACAACAGGATGATACTCACAGTACGATATGAAAATGAAGTAACATGACTCCCATCAACATTGACATGGTAACCCTCCAATCCAGCCCTCAATGTCAGAACAAATAACTTTCCCTCAGCAAAAGGGTACGGCCAATCTAGTTCCACCTTCTTCTTTCTTCCTATCAATCTGTTCAACCACCATGTAGCCTTCGATTCTTCCAAGCCATTGTCATCATCTCGAATCCATTTGTCACATTTAACTTGTCCGTCAACTACCCAAAATAGATCAAAACAATCAGCATATACATTGAATGCCTCCTCATATAAGTAACTTTTACACAACCCCTGCCCCAACAAAATCATAAATCAATACCATAACGAACGTTATTAAAATTAATTACAACTAACTACCGACAATTATTGACAAACTCAAACACAACAAATTTTCAAGCCTACAATCTCCATTGACTTACTCAGCATTCAGTCAAATGCACTAGGAAAATATAAAAATCATTAAAAAAAAAAAGAGATCACCTGTTTCCTCATCAGCTCTAGACTTCCACCCTTCACACCTCAACGCCGATCCCCACTGCATTCGATAACAAGTATTTTGCTCGATCACGGGCTTGCCGCTCCAATCTCCTTTCAACCTCGGATTGAAATGAAGAATCCGCGGTGGATCCTCGCCATCCACGGTCTTCAACCCTTGCAATTCCATCATAAACTGCGTTACCATCACTGCCTCATCACCTTCTTTCAAGACTGCGATTTTCGGGTCATACTCTGCATGCGCCCAATGCGGCATCCCCACCACCGTAATGTGGGACCCTAACGTTAACCCACAGGGCAGGACCAAGATATGGCCCCGGTTCACGAACTCCGACCCGGATAAGGAAATTGAACCCGGACATGATTCGGTTCGGTTTTTGTTTTGATTTTGCTGTTCGGGTTCTGAATCCGAATTGGTTTGACCCGATTGGAGGTCGTCCCAGAGTTTCTTGCCAACAACGAAGGCGTGTCGTGCGGTTTTGTGGAGCACCGAGAACTCGTCTTTAGAATCGTTGCTGTCAAAAGAGCTTTCGTTGAAGAGGAGACCCGAAACTTTCTTGAACTCCCGCATTTTCCGCTCAGGTGTCCGGCTTCCGGGTTGGCGGACACGGTCCGGGTCGTTGACAGGCCGAGCGGATGCGGATTTGTCGGTGAAGTCCTCTTCGCTCTCGAGAAACAAAGGCCTCGGCAATGTGTCGGTGAAGAACCCTCCGGAACCAGTTTTGAAAACCAGCGGGATTTCGAAGCTCATGAACATAAGAAGGTAGAGAAACAAAACCCCCATCAAGAACTGAACCAGCTTGAGCCGACTCAGCGACACTAACGAGTCAAATTTTGCTCGCTTCATCGTTTACTTCAAGAGCAAAAGTGTAAAAATAGAGATGGAGAGTGTTGGTTTGGTTTATGGTCGTGGACTGAAATATGAAGGAACCCTAACCCTAGTTTTGATTCGCAGGGAAAGGGGTTTGGGTTTTTAAGTAGGTGGAAGGCATTCACTGAATGCATAAGCGTTTGAAAGACAGAGAGAGAAAGAGTGTGAGAACGAAAAGCCGAGCCAAAGACAGGCAGAGAGCCTCGAAGAAAAGAAAAAGCTTTTCATTTAATGAATTTTTTTTATTAAACTCTACTAATTTTTCCGAGACAAAACCTTCAAAATTTACGCCCAAAAAAGAAGCAAAAGATCGTAAGTTTAATTTTTAAAAAACAGTTTTTTATTAGACACAGAAATTAGAAACAAATTTCCATGAAAAAAAAAAAGCAAAATTTAAAGACACGTCGTTTTAGGGGACAGGAGATTATGCCATGCACGCCTCGTTTGGAAAAATAGAGGTGTAGGGTCGGATGAGTTTGGGTCAACTTGATATTCTAAGAAGTGAGAAATAATTATTAAAAAGAATAGGATTTGTTTTAGTTGAATAATAAATTAATCATTAATTAATCAATGGTATAAAAGCAATGAATGTTCCTTTCATAGCAAAAATTGTTTAAATAAAATAAATTAAGGGATATGAGTGGTGAAAGTTGAAGGAGAGACCGTTGAGAGTAGAAGAATGATTTGAAAGCAGGGGGGGTGGGGGCTTTTGTCGTTGTTCGTTGGTTGGTGGAGTCTTTAATCTTGGGAAATGTTTTTTTCTCTTTCTTTTTTTTAATTTAAATGATTCATTGAAATCCAAATTTTAATACTAGCAATTTGATTAAGTAAAAAAATAAATAAATAAAAGATTAATTATCCAAAGGTGGGAAGAAAAGGGGGATTGGAAGTGTGTGGTTGGAAGAAAACAAAGCCACAATAAAAGGAAAGATTTGTGACTGAAAATGACGCTCATGCTCCTTTGGAATTTTCTGTACTCTAATTTACTTCATAATATCTTGTTAATGGTTTTTTTTTTTCTTTTTAAGGTTTTCCCACGTAGATTTGACGTTCATGTGAGAGTCGCTGCGTAACTGTGACCAGTACCGTCATAAAAATAAGTAAAGAAAACTATTTTATACATTAGTTAACTATAAAAATTTGCATTTACAAGAACAAAGAAATGTTTAAACTAATATCTGAGTTTTTAAAAAATATATGTAATATTTAAATTAATAAATTGTTACCAATTTGATATTTCCATTAACATCCATTACTGAAAAAAATGAAGTGACCCTCCATAGAATAAAAACATGTCTATAATATGGTTGGGTATATATATAGAAAAAAAAACTATAGTAAATGATTTTCACATGTCAGAAATGTATATAAATGCGAAATGTAAACTGTAACGTCTGTCTTTAATGAGTTGATTTTATACTTTATTAATGTCAATGCACACCCACTATGTGTTGGTGAAATTAAAATTTAGTTATTTAGATAAAAATTAAAAGAAAAAACAAATTTATAGTTACTATAAATTACAAAAGACAGAAAGTGAAAGGTTTTTTTTTTTCAACACATACAAATTTTTATAATGAAAAAAATGTAAGAAGTGAATTTTAAAATTTGATTCTCTCTTAAAAAAATGTAAATTATCTTTATAACCTTATTAATATATATTTGATTAAAATAATAAAAAATTATTAAACTTTACAACTTTACTTAGATAAACCTTTATACTTTTATATCATTTAAAGAAATTTTTAATTTTTAATTTACACTTAAATAATCTATTAATCTTTAATTTACGTTCAAATAAATTCTTAATTTTTAATTTGAATTCAAATAAACTCTTATATTTTTAATTTATGCATAACAAACCTTAACATAAAATAGTTATTTCATTTGAAATAAGAGTTTATTTAGATATAAATTAAAATATAAGAGCATATTTGAATACAATAAAATTATAATGACTTATTTAAGAAAAATAGAATAACTCAAAGGCTTTTTTAGTATTTTAGGCTATATTTTTATTGCATAAATTGTATTCGTTTTAGGTTAACTCATGCCACCAATTCAATTACGGATATAAATTGCTATTAAGGTTCCATTTGTTTAGTAGAAGTTAACTTTCAAAAAAATTATTTATGTATTTTTTTATATTTATATGACAAAAATTAATTGATAAATAAAAAATAATTTACTGAACAATGAAAAATGAAACCATTTTGAGTAAACAAATTTGAAAAAAAAAATCATTATAGGTAGGAATACTTATTAAGCTCGTAAATATAATTCTATTTAAGCTGAACCTTGGACATAATTTTTAAATTCAAACTTAATGTGACCTGATCCAAAATATTATTATATTTATAAAAATATTTTTATTTAAATTTAACTACAAATTTAAAATATTAAAATATTAGTACTAAAAGTCTTTTTATATTTTAATTTTAAATATTTATATTTTGTATATTAGTAGTCATAAATATTTTTAATATTTCAAAAATAAATAGTGTTATATTATTATTTTATATAAATAATATATATTCATATAATGAATAATATTTTATTATTTTAATAATTTATATTCATAAAATATTTTTATTATTTTAATAATATGATTTACAAATATTAAAAATGAAAAACATACTTATTTATTTAACATATTGTAAACGCCCCTTTAGTCCAAAATTTTAGTTAGATTTTAATTTCTATTTTATTTTATAGATTTTTTATTCCGATTACACTTATGGATTTTGTTAACTCAAAAAGGTTTGGCATAAGTTGCAAAAGAGGAAGAGTTGGGTTTGAAAAAAATATTGAAGTTCTTAAAATTGTTTTGAATTTAAAAGTCTTGTTCTATCTATTACACTTTTGGTAGGGATTGTAATACAATTGAATAAAAAATTGTATTTACCCTGTTTTTGGAAAAAATTCAAATTAAAATTGGATTTAAACTCTAAGATTAAATTTTGGTGAGAATATACTAGAATAATTCTCTTTAAATTTGAACTTTAAGAGAACAAGAAAAAAAAAAAGAAAGAAAAGCAAAAAAAAAATATAAATTGGCAATGATCTTTTAATTTTTGAAAATTTTTGAAATTGAGTTCTTATTATATTTTAAGTTTATATTTGGAGAAAGGTTAGATTTAGATTAGACTTGGGGAAACAAAAATTTTAATCTGGTTTAGGGAATTGTTTTAGGAATTTTTTTAGATTTTTTCGTGGGTACTTTGAATTTTTTTGGTTAAATTTTTTAGCTACTTTGAATTTTTTGTTGATATTTTAGATGGTAGTTTAAAGTTTTTGACAAACCTTTGAAGCTTTCAGTGCCAACAACTAGATTTGTAAAGAAAAGAACTCAATTTAGAGAGAGAAAGAGTAAAGTAAAAGTGAAAGAAATGGCTTTTAATATTTTAAGGAATGACTTCGTTTTTTACTTTAAAGGATTCGCGTCTAATCCAACAAAGATTCGTGCGACGACCCAAGTAACTTCAACTCATTTGACTTGTTTTCTTCTTTTATTTTTGTTTTATTTACTGTTTCTATTTTATATATTATTTTATTTTTTGGATTATTTATTTTGATTATTTATGTCATTTTTTTCTTATTATGTTTATTTATTTGCCTTAACATTTATTTGCTTATTTAATTTGTAAAATATATAATAATTTAAAAATAAATAAAAATTCAATTAATGATGAAATTTTAAAAAATTTACGCACGTGTAATTTTTTTGAAAATTTTTAAGTGTGAGAAATTTTTTAAAAAAAAATTTGATCAAGGCATTGAAGGATTTAAAAATTATTATCAATATAAAAATTTTTTATTTATTTCTATTTTGAGAAAAATAAAATTGGAACCAATTGTGATTTTTTTTCATAAATAATTAGATAACATGTATTAAATTTTGTATTTAATTATTGAATTTTATTATTTTGAATTTGACCATGTATATTATCATGTATTTATAAGTATCTATTTTTTTTATAAAATATTTAATAAATCTGATGATAAAACTTTTTCAAGGAAATAAGTGCATTACTTGAATACTTTTGAGGGAAGAAATATTTTTAGGAGGTTGACCAAGATGTTTGAAAAAACCTAAAATATTTTTAATATTTAAATATTAAATTAACAAAAATAATAAATAATAAGAATAAATTATGATCATATTAATTAAGGTTAAAAAGATAATTTAAGATTAATTGGTATCAATTTATTAGCATTGTAAGAGTGTTATAACTTTTTTATATATAACTAAACTTATGAACCTAATTCTGTTTTAAAAACCAAAACCTATTATTTTTAGGGACTATTAATCAAAGTTTAGAATAACCTTAAAAATAATAAATTCACTTAAGTAGTTAATTACACCTAAAAAAATTTTTTTGATAGTGACTCGATATGTTGTGTCTAATGAGTTAATTATCATACTTATACATTATGATATATATGAATAAACACGTTTTATTTTACCAGCCAAAAATTACACTATATGTGAACTAACTATTATTGTATGTTTCTCCAAAAATTCAAAAATACATATCATACATTTTTTAATATTCACTTGGAGTTTTTTGGAATTAACAAAAGGGTTAACAACACTTATAATCTATAAATTTTGAATCAAATTTTATTTTGATTTCGAATGTTTAAAAAATTCTAATTGAATTTTCAATTATCCAAAATTGTCTTATTTTAGTCTTTTCATCTATGAGACCATCTAAATTAATGTTAAATGCTAATTGCTGTAATATGAAGATATCAGCTGGCATCTCACATGACAACTAAAATATTAAAATAGAATTCTCTCAAAATTTAAGAACCAAAATAAAACTATTTCAAAATTTTATATATTTCATATATATTTTATAAAATATTAAATTTAATATTAAATTTTTATATTTTTTGTTGTAATATAATTTATCAGTTAGATTTTTTTGTTTTTAATAGAAAATAGATTTTTAAAAATTAAAATTAAATTAAAATTTTTACATTCCTTTTTTCAAAAATTTAATATCATTACAAAAACAAAAAAATTTCTATTAAAAATATTATTTTCCTCATAAATCATAATAAAAATATTATTTTCCATCCAAAACATTTTTATTTTTTAAAATATTAGATATATTTTATTTTTCCTTTTTCAAATATATATTCTAAAAGTATGTTTAATAAAAAAGAAAAAAAGTAAAAATGCTTTAAATTATATTTTTTTTATTTTATATGAATATCAAGTTTAAAAAAAATAGACTCACATTAGATTTTGTCAATAGAAAATAGATTGATAAATTTATTTTTAAAATAATATGAAAATTTTTACATA